TTTTTTTTTTTTTTTATCATATACAACAAACATGGGCATCAGATGTACAAAACCCAGAAGAAACGGAAAAACAAACCAACAAAAAGCCATCAGGGTTTCCAGCAGTTCCAGATTGTTTGTCATATGATCCAGTTCTGCATCTTGTTTGTCCATGAATTTTAAAGATGAGAAGAGGTGGCAGAGTTCCTTGTGAAAAGTGGGGAAAGAAAACGATATTTTTTATTGAAAAACTTGCCCATAATAATGATTACATTTAATAACCTTTTGAATTTATTTTCTCAGAGTCCCATAAATAACATCTTAGAAAATTCAGGTAAGTTTGGAGTTTTAGGGAAAAGCCAGTGGTGCACATCATCACAGATTTACACATTCATATAAAGATGTTCAGTCGATTCAATGTCACAAAGTGAACAAGTTTTATCATCGACAGCAGATCGAAGTCTAAGGATTCCTTAGAGGGAAAAACACCTGAGAACATTTTGAAGTGGACTCATTGGCTTTGGAGGAACAGGAAGATTTAAATCATTTGTTCTAATTTTTTCCCTTTGAACCTTTGAAGAGAAATGTGATATAAAATTTGGATTTGATACAAAAGGAAACCAAGTACTAGTAAAGCATTCCCTAATTTTTGAGTTCTTTAGTTTATGACCTGTGACACTGGGCCCATTAGTCCAGGCAGATCCGGGTTCTGTAATCTGGGATCTCAGAAAAACATTTAGCTGTACATCAAATATTTGGGGGAATATCTCTAATCATTTTTTTAAATTCATTTTTATTTATTTGCAGGTTGTATTTAACACTGACGTCTTCAAAAGACATAAAACCTCCATTATTTAATATCACAGACCAAACGCCTTGTTCTGGCCAGTTATGTGCAGATTGATTATTAATTTTTCTGTAACATCAGTTCCTTAGGCAGTGTTGTGTGGGCTGCAGTTATAGATTCATCTCCAATATAATAAAACTTGCTGCTGAGAGAAGGAAAGTTTCACAGGCAGTTTTTTAACGTCAAAGTCACATAAGGAAACTAACTCCGCCCAGATTAGAGAATATCTCACCTGGAATATGGAACCATAATTCATTTTGATTTGTTACAAAGACTGAAGCCAGTTTATTTTCATGCTGACAAATGCAGCTGCAGTCGTCCATCTTCAGACTGTTTGATTAAATGACCTTTTCTGATAGTTTTCCGTTTCCATATAAAGTCAAAATTCATCCTGTTGATAGATTTGATTGCTGATATTCCTCATGTATATGCAGGATAGATAAATCTCTCTGTGTCCATTTATTTAAATGAGTTTTACATTTTTGAAGTTTCTCCCAAATATTCAGATTTATTTTTATTAATATGCACATTTGATATTAGATTTTACAGGAATATTAAAAGCAGTAGATTAAGGACAGTCTTCTACAGGCAAGATTTCACATTTATT